ACTCTCACAATTTTCCAGCCAGCAGAAGTGGAAGCCTACCCATCTTGAAATTGCCAAGGTTGAGAAACAGTGGTTTAAATGATGGAGTCATACAACTGTAGATTAAGAAGGGGCCCTGAAGATCTTCCAGTTCAACCCGCTGCAATGTGTAGGAAAACCAGTTAAACAGTCCCAAAGAAATGGCCTCTTCAACTTATAAAAGCTTTCAGAGTTGAAAGACTGTATTGGTAGAAGAGTTCCAGTTTCTATCCTGGGTAGCTTTTTAGACCAGTAAAACTTGGCAACTTAAGATGTTTGAACCTCAACTCCCAGAATTCCCTAATGGGCACACTGACTAGAGAATTCTGGGAACTGAAGTCCACACATCTTAAAGTTGTGAAGTTTTAAAAACACTGTTTTAGACAAGGGAGCTTTTGAGTTGAGAGAGAGGTGAGCTGAGTTCATGTATTCCACTAGTCTAGACTAAAATGGAGATTGGTTGATTTGAAGTTCAACATGTTGTGTGAAATCAGCTACTATCTATGGCTGAGGCAGGACATCGGGTTTATTTATAAGTTTATTTACCATGTCTATATTCTGCCTTTTGTCCTGGAGCCCAGAATTACTTCCATTGATCTCTCCGTTCATTTTATCCTCATGACAGTTTTGAAGGGTAGGCTGGGCTGGGAAATCTAATGGGTGGGACCTTATATATAAAAAAAGATTGGGCTTCAATTGCACAATCATAGCTATAATCCTAAGTGTTTGACTCTTCCTGCAGATGCTCCTATTGGGCTAAGAGAGAATAAGTGATCCAATGAATTTCTATGAGTAGACTTGAATGTGGAACTACCTGTCCTAGTCTAATATTTTAATGCTGGCACTATACTGTATCTTCTGAAGACATCATTTATTCTTTCCTTCTGTTTCTGTACCATGTTCACAAAAGCATTTGCCTTTTATAAAAATGTGTTGGTTGGAAAAAGTGCTAACAGACTAATGATTTTTTCCCCCCCACCATAGACTAAAAGGTCTTTCCTCCTGTAACATTGACATTGGGGAGGCTCAGCTAGAGATCTCCACTGGGTCAGATCGAGGAGGCAGAATGAGGAGAAAAACCCCAATGAGCTGTCTTGAGCTCCCAGAGAAAAGTTGAAAGCTTTGAAGAAATTTAAATGCAAGAGGCTTCGATGCACTGGAATCACGTTGGGCCTTTGACATCTTGCAGCATGGCTGAAATTGGCCTAGGATGAGCAGAAGAGGAAAACACAGTCCCTATAAATGCTCAGAGGCAATTTTTCAATCATCAGTGCTGCCATTTTTTTTCCTTTTTTCTTTTTAACCAGAGTTATGTGTTCTGGTATTCATTCAGCTCCTACCTAATCCAGTTATTGTGAGACTTCTTGGCTAATATTAATTCTGTTGGCTGCCAAAGCAAACAAACAAGCAAATAATAACACGCCCTTAGGATTAGAAGCTTCTTCAATATGTCCTTTTCCCCCTGTAACCCAGTATGAACAGAAAATAACCCCTCCATTCTAATAACATACAGAATTATTGTTTCCTTCTCTATGGCTTTTAGTATTCCTTTTTCCTAGGAAATAAACCCATTTAGCTTTCTAAACTCAACCCAGGTTCCCCCAGAAAATTGGGGGAACCGAGTCAGATTGCTTTGTACCAGGCAGCTAAAAAATAGCCAGGCCAAGAGCTGAAGAAAGAAACCAAGATGGAAGCCATAACACTTTGATAAAAGTTCTGCCATTTGTGTGGGTGTTGCATATAGCACCTATAGCTGCCATCTTGACTTTCTTTTTACTGTAAACTGAGGACACATGTGTTGAGCAAGGTCTTGCCAAAACAATGTAATTTGTGCAGGAAATGTTGAAAGTGTTTGTCAATGTCCTTGAAACATTATTCTGAGTTTCCGGTGACATGCTGAAAATTTCCTTTGAAATGACCTTCACTTGAACAAGCAGGGAGGGATGGAAGATCTGCCTTTGAAGTCTGGAGAACCCAAGCTTGATCACTGGACCATCTAACTTTCAAGGAATAATAGCAATGGAAGCTGCCAGCAAGAGGGGCATGGAACCTCACAGTGCAAGAAAGATTCCATGGGTACTTTGAGGACCCACGAATCAGTCACACTCACCATGGCAACATTTTTGTGAGAGCTCTTATACCAACTTCAAAATTCCAAATGCACCATTTGGCCCCAAAATATATGGAAACACTGATCTATCCAAAGGTGCTTTTTCAAGAGGCAACTGGACTTTCTGTTTTTTCTTTGAAGACATTTCACTTCTCATCCAAGATGGACTTCCAGAAAGTCCAGTTGTCTCTTGAAAAGGCACCTTTGGGACAACCATGACCTGGATGACTGAGAATCTCCATAGACACAGATCTACAATGTTTTGTATTGCCCCCTGACATCTATTATCAGAATTTCAGGAAGATCCCTGTTGGACCAGGGATATATTTCTAGAAACTATATTTCTCATAGACTATGAGGAGACTATATTTCTGATAGTCATCGATTTGATGCCTCCGGGAAGGCCCTCAGTACTACTTTCTATTGCTGGATGCCCAGCTTCTCAACTGGATGCCCAGAAACAATGCTGCCCATAATAATGGAATTTCATCATGTATGTCCATATATAATCTCCTCCTCCTCCTCCTCCTCCTCCTCCTCCTCCTCCTCCTCCTCCTCCTCCATAAATTGGCTCAGTCCCCTTTCACTGGATCTTGTGAGACTAGGTTCCAAGTAGAATCCTTCATATAGAGAGACACTATGACCTTGGGAACTTGCGATCTCTTGCATGCAAAACATATACTTAATCATTGGACTATAGTCAATATGAGCCAACTTGGCTTCCCAGGCAAGGAAGCCACATCAGCAAATTCCCTTTTAAAAAGCATTTAAAATGTCATCTTCTCAACACTGTGATATTAATTAAGTCCTATTAAATTATGATCTCTCCATTCCAGTCAATTCACACAGCATTCTGAGGCCAGCACTGCTCTCCTCCGAGAGACATCATAATATTGTGCTCTCCATTAATTTGGAAGTTCTCCCTTCCTTCATCTTTTGGGCTGGGGAAGTACACTCCAAATGCCCTTCTTTGGCTAGCAGAGCTCAATTTTTCTTGTTTACGGCACCAGACTGAATATTTTTTGATCTAATCAAACAGATTTGCTTAGTGCCTTCCAAACGTTGACATTCTTTCTGGAAACAATGGCAGTGGGCCAGTGAATTTGCTCCCAGTGCTGGAAAAGGCATCACTTTCTGGCATCAGAAGTCAATAAAATAAAGGGCTTCTTAGGTGGTAGGGAAGGAAGTCCCTATCCTTGGAAAGGAGGGCTCCTAAAATCCTCAGATGCACCATGTCTTCCTCCCAACATACAGTATCTGTTTTGTCCAGGACAAGGTAGATATTTTTGGCTGTTGTCCTAGGAGCCTCCACTATCCAGAGAACATTGGGTGATATGAGAAGAAGCAGGATCTTGTTGGTGATGGCATCCAGATTGCAGACTTCTCTGCCAAACCTTTGTTTGTCACAAGTTTTCCTTAACAAGACAGACCATAAAAAGTGTCAATTTATGCTAAAGGTACATGCCAACACATTTCGGTTATCATAAGTGTAACTAATATATCATACCTACCTTTTAGAATGTGTAGAGGAGACTCCTTTTTTAATGTGTTCTTCTGAGCATATGCGAAATATATATTCCAGTCACCTAGTGAGTCTCATATATTAGGATCTTCCCTAGTCCTACCATCTCCTTAGAAACTTTTATGACAATTTCTAATCACTTTTTACTCCTCAGTGGTTGTTCAGAAAGTTAAAGCTCGACGGAGGGGCTTCAAGGGTTTCATTATATAGATTTCTTCAAACTGAAGTTTGTGTCGTTTTCCTTTAGAAGTTCAGGACTCTTGGGCGCTTTTGCTGACTTCTTTTCTGAGAAGTCAATGCCTTCGTTTTCAGCTGAATCCCCACAAAGCTTGAATTTACACATCTGAGAACCCGAACAATTCTTTCCCACATTAAATCATAAGCTGCAGCACAAGGCAGGCATCTATTTTAATCAGAGTTGTGCTCAATCAATTGTCACATTTATTAAAAACAAAAAACAAAAAAAACCAGGCATTACAGTATTGTCATTTTTTAAAAAAGCTCTTTCCAGCAACTTGGTCAGGAGGGTGGATGAATGTTATTATATCTGGGCAACGGAGGCCCGGGGGTGGATTCCCCCAAACCAGTATGCTGAGTGGGACAGGCCAGAGGTCTCCAAACTGAAACTGCTGGATCCCGGGGCCTCACCATTGATCGGGTTCTTTGGCTACTTTGCAAAAGGCATCCGGGTTCTCCCTTCTGACAGGACCTTAACCCACCTGGAATCCTGCCTCTTGTCTGGCTGAGCACCGGTCCAGGTGTCTCCCTGTGTCTGAACACAGCCAAATCTGGCCAGTTGGCTCCAGAGAACAAACTCTTATCTCCAGATAAGTTATCTGGACTCTCCCGCTTCGGTTTCCCCGGCGCCTCCCTTTCTTTCTTTGTCTCTTAGTGGGGACCCCCAGCCCCGCTCGGCTGTTCCTGCTCTCCACCCCCAACTCCAGTGCCTCCGGAGTGGAAGAGGCGACCGCGTCCCGAGCCGAAACCATCCCTTCCCGCTCAGGCGACGTGCCTCTCCCGCCCGCCAACCTGACCTCCGGCCTCGGGGGGGGGGGGTCTCTTCTCTGGCCTCGGGCTGGGGCGAACGGACCCGAGGGGCGCGTTGCTCTACCAAGCTGGAGGAAGTTCAGTCCCGCTCTTTTCCTCTTCGCTCAAGTCTCCTTGGCAGCCGCGCTCGCTGTTGGCAAGGGATGCACCGATCTGGAGCGGAGCAGCGCAAGAGAAAAAAATTGCAAAAGGAAGCCAGCCCAAGCCGTTTGGAGAGACTCGTGGCTTTGCCCTTTCCCAATGACGTCGTGTCCTGAGCCCTTCCCCTCCCCCTCCCCTCCCCCCGCCTTTCCCCTTACATCTTTGGAAGCCACAATTAAGCAGCACCGCTGGGATAAAACGCTCGGGCTGCCAGCGGACTAGGGCATTGCATCGAGAGATGGCCAGGCTGCGGACTTCGTCCCTCCTCCCTGGAGTCCTGGTTCTCCTGCTTTCCAGCCTCCCGGCTTCGTGGCAAGGAGGTAAGAGAAGCACCTCGGGCAGGCTGCGCCGGCTTCACCTCTTGGCCAGCAGCCGCTGAGGTGCTTTCCTCCTGAAAGCCGGGCTCGGCCGTCTGCCTCCTGGCTGCGGAGCCTCCTCGTCTCCTCCATCCAGCTCCAGCTTTGGGGACACCCGGGAAGCCCCGGGCTCTCCTCCTTCCCCACCCCACTCTAGGCGAAAGACTCTCCGGTCCTTTTGTAGAAGGGAAGGGGCGAGGGACCCCGCTGCTGCAGGTTATCATCGGCAGCAGAGAGGAGGGCGGGTCTCTTCTGAGCCCCCTTTTCGGGGGTCTCCAAAACCCAGGGCTTCCAAGAGAGGCGCCGATATTGCATATAATAATAATAATAATAATAATAATAATAATAATAATAATAATAATAATAATAATAATAATAATAATAATAATA